TATGTAACTATGTAACTATGATAGATCAGGGAATACAGAGGTTTATGGGATGCCCATATATATGAGGGATCAGCCAATACAGAGGTTTATGAGGGATCAGGAGATATAGAGATCTATGGGGGAATCAAGGCATACAGAGATTTTTAAGGGATCAGGGGATGCAGAGATTTATCAGGGATCGGTTGATGCAGATATTTATAGAGGATCAGGAGAAGCAAAGATGTATGTGTAATCAGTGGATGCAGAGATTTATAAGAGATTAGGGGATGCAGATATGTATGAGTGATCAGGGGATTACTGAGATGTAAGAGGGATTGGGAGATGCAGAAATGTATATGGGATCAGGGGATGCAGAGATTTATAAGAGATTAGGGGATGCAGATATGTATGAGGGATCAGGGGATTACTGAGATGTAAGAGGGATTGGGAGATGCAGAGATTTTATATGGGATCAGGGGATGCAGAGATTTGTAAGTGATCATGAGATGAAGATATTTTTGACTGACCAGGAAATATAGAGGTTTATGAGGGATCATGGGATACCCAGATGTATGAGGGTTCAGTCGATACAGATGTTTATGATGAATCAGGGGATGCAAATATTTATGGGGGTGCAGATATTTATTGTGACTCAGGGGGTGCAGAGATTTATGAGAGATTAGAGGATGCAGGGTTTTATAAGGAATCGAGAGATAACTGAGATTTATGAGTGTTGAGGACATGACAAGTCATCAGGGGATGAAGAGATTTATGAGGGATCAGGGGATACAGAGATTTATGAAGCATTATTTCCTGTGATAAGTTACATAGGAAGGCTAGACAATAAGAGGAAGAAAGTCTGATGACATTAATCTCCCAAAATGCACCTGGAAGCCAGTAAGCTACCTAGTCTGCATGTGACCAGAAAGTGCCCGGGTTCAAATTTTTAGATATAGTTATCCTTGCAGTGTATACATTTTCTGCACAATCTGTTGGCTGTGTAGCTATAATGTGGGGGTCATCAACTGACCTGCACATGCTTATCTTTAGACACTTGAGTTGATTTATTAAAGGCAAAATACCTGTGTATTTTGCAAATGCAGTTGCACTAATTTTCCCCAGAGCTTATTGAATGTGGCAAAGCTTCACTTTGTATAGAATACTCAATCAGGTGCAAGGAAAATGAAAAAAAAAAAACACATTTTTGCTTGCACGTGATTGGATGATGGAAATCAGCAGAGCTTTGCTACATTCACCAAGCTCTAAGGAAAATGAATGTGCGTCTTATAGAGCGGCCGGCCCAGTATTCCCACCGCCATTGTATGTCCGCAGTCTCTGAACAAATGCGGACACAGTACAGGAGATGACCATAGTTTTTTTTTTTTTAAAAACTATAGTCCGGCCCTCCAACGGTCTGAGGGACAGTGAACTGGCCCCCTGTTTAAAAAGTCTGAGGACCCCTGCAGTAGATGGTTGTTAAAAGTTGGACAATATTGGGTTGCAGGTATGGGTGTACATTTCCTATTTCAGTTAAGGCATTAAGGCACTAATGGTAATGTGCATCGAGGATAGATTGATAGTTAAATTGACTTTGATACGGTATAGTTGCGGCTGAGGGCCTTTAAGTGGAATTGTGGCAGCTACAGCTGGTTGGTAAAATAAAGGTGCCTTCATAGACCCTAGACCAGAAAATCAGGTCAGTCATTGACATGAGTGTTGCAATAATTTTTCATAATGAAAAATGGTTTTGGTAAAAAGGTTGTATTTTGTATTTTTGCATTTTGTTATTTAATAATAGGCTGCTCTGGCCTTTCAAACCCAAATAATGTTTCCAGATGACTGTTTATTGGGTAAAGGTGAATTTATTTTGTTAGAGTGCATATTCAAGGTCATGACAGCCGCAATGCAAGGCAATACCTTAGTCGTGAAAAATAACATTTGGGAGACTGTAGTTTGTAGTTTAATTCTTGTCCCCAGGAAAGGGCTATTTTTTCTTCCAGAATCATACTGGAGTTTTTTCCCCCTATTTCTGATAAATGTAATTCTAGTTTAGTCGGGCACTTTCCCCAAGTTGGGTTGAAAACTTTAACATTAACAATTTCAATATAATGTTCTGCCTCTGTCTGTTGAAGAAATGCACTTCTAAAATATGGGAGCACTTAACTTTTTTTCTTTAACTTTTCGGATTTGTTACAGTGAACCTGAGCTAATCAAAGACTGGAAACTAAAAGCAAAAGGTAAAAGCAGCCATATGTGCACCCCAGGATTCACAGAATGCTGTTCACTTAATATGCAAATGAGTTCTCCCAGCTAGGAGGTTAGTGGTCTGACGCACTACACTCCTCCCCCTCTATGTCCCTCTAAACCATCAATTCCATTACATTGACTTCTGCTGTAAGAACTTAGAGGTAGAATTTGCATTTGGGCCCCGTGGATATAGGGACTCCTGAGGTGTTCATGAATATAAATGAAAGTACAAGAAGGCGCTTTTAACACCCGCATTCAATTTTTAGATTATGATCCCTGTACAGTTGCCCATTATATGTAATGCTTCATAAAAGAAAGCCTTTACTTCTTATGAAACGTTCACCTTTACATTTTTACTTTCATGGGGGCAGCTATATTCATCTCCTTTAGAGTTATAAAAAGGCACCCTAATACAGTGTTCTGTAGATAGAAGCTCCTTGTGCTCTTTGAAGGGGAACACAAAAATATCCTTACAGTCTTTATATTATGATATGATAATTATCATTGTCTGTTTTACATATCTCGTATACCTGAGCAACACAGTTCATCTAACTCAAATAAAGGGAATCTCTCATAATACAAATATGGAAGCTACCATTGCTGACTTGTTTTGACAGTGCATTCACCAGGGCTATGATTCTTATCTATAATTCCTACTTCACTACTTGTGAATAATCACTTTTGGGCATCGTCATTTTAGCGTCAGTATGAATTGATGCAAGACTGTTATGAATCGGTATGGAAGTATCTGCCAATGTCAGAATTAGTTGAATGTTAAGTATTGACTCAAAAATTTAGATTACAGTTTAGTTTTGGGGTTTTTGTAGGTCAAGGTACTGTATCTAAAAGTTAAATTAGTGTAAAGCTCCGTACACATTGGACAAATACTGACTGAAATCAGCTAGTACAATAGATACCGGCCAACATTCAGGCTGTGTGTACAAGTCCTTGTTTGACAGAAGCCAATCTCACGTCCGGCTTCTGTCGAATGAGCATGCAGGAAAACCAGCAGCCAATCGGCATCCAATGAGCGCTCTCAGCCAATGGCTGCAGGAGCTGACCAGTGTGTTCTGGTTTCGGGGTAGTCCCCCTGTCAGAATAGCTCAGCGGGGAGATCGCTGTACTAATGTCGAATCATTAGTACAGAGAACTCCTTGCAATATCTCATTTTTGTTTTTAGCCCACTGGGCTGATGACAACAAACTTACCATGTGTACTAGGCTTTAGGCGTTGAGTGGAGGGTGATATTTTATTATTTATTTATTACAGGTATGGATGTGGCACCTCAATATATGCAGTACTTTACATATATTATACATTTACATCAGTCCCTGTCCATAAGGAGCTTACAATCTAAAGTCCCTATCACACATTCATGCATACACATACTAGGACCAAATAAGACAGGAGCCAATTAACCTACATGTATGTATTTAAAGTGTGGGAGGAAACCAGAGTACCCAGAGAAAACCCAAGCAAGCACAGGGAGAACATGCAAACTCCATACAGGTAGTTTCATGGTTGGGATTTCAACCGATGAGACTGTTGCTGGGTAATTTAAAGCCTAAGTGCAGCCAAAAAAACACAAATAGAAAAAAATGCTCTTGTGAACTTACAGATAATGTGATTGTCCTGACCCCTGTGTTGTGTATGTCCTGATCTTCTTAGTAGTAATGCACTCCCTCCTGCACCCTCCTTCTCCGTCACTATAATCTTTCAGTGTATCAGGGGTTAGTACAGCTATGGGGCTGTTCGGAGCTCTCATCAAGAGAGTTTGACTATGCCCTCCCTTTCTTGCCCAATATGCCATCTACAGAAGTCATACTACTGCTTCTATGAATGACACATGATGTGTGAATGGAGGGGGAGAAGCTATCATTAATTCACCCATCTCGCATTAGAGGTCCTGTAGGACAGCGTCTATGATTGGCAGATCTGGCAGGTAAGGGCAGGCATAGTCAAGCTGTTGATGAGAACCCCTCCTCCCCCGCACCAGAAGATTGCAGTTGTGGTGGGGGAATGTTACAGGACCAAGTGCATTATTACTAAAAGAAGAAGAATCAACACAAGGGACAGATTGTACTAACTGTAAGCCATGTCACTTGTGCTGATTTTTCTATTTGTGTTTTTGACTGCATTTAAGCTTTACAAGCCTTTAGCATTAAGGTGTTACTAAACCCACAACAGTAAAATCAGTCTGTATATGCAGTAAAGCATGCTTGTTATATCACTGTGGAACCTAAGGGGTTAATCCTCTGCACTGTGTAAAAAGACTGTTGGTCCTGTTTTCTCTGCCCCTCCTCTTGTTCAAATGTCCACCTGATAAGACAGACTGAACCCGAAGTCACATGCACATGCTCATTTTAGTGTGTATTGCTTGAGATTTTTTTTTTTCTTGGGAGAGTGCATGTGATCATCACAGGTCCAATCAGCACTGTCCAGACAGAGGGTCAGGGGTTTTGCACCCTCCTAGAGCAGAAAGAAAACTCTTCCTACAAGCTTTAACCAGTGCTGTGCTAAAGTCACATAACTTCAAGCTCTAACTGCTGATGAAAAAAGGTATTTAGCAGTTTACATTTACTAAAATAATTACATTTACATGTTGTGTGTACTGTGGGAGACCAGATATAGTGAATGCAGGGTCCGGGGTTTAGTAACACTTTACCAGTTAGGGTAAGTTGAAGCGTATCTAAACCCAAGAACAAAAATGTAAATTGTAGATCTTTCAACAGTTTCTTAGTTTAAAAAACATATATTTCTTTTAGACTTTCTCTTTAGAAATTCTTTACACTTTCTCTTTTAAATGCAAGACACTTACCTGGTGAAATAATATAGAAGAAATCTTTGAATTCATCCATCCAGACTTCCGCTAGTCTTCTGTTGTTCTTATTGATCACATGACCTGTCCCTCCGGGGAAGGTGTAGGGAGTGGCCTTTCGAAAGACGTGTCCCACATGTGAGCATGTTACAATTTCAAGCGATCCACCACACTGCCAGATCTAAAAGTCAAACAAAAGTTTAATATCACTTGAAACTTTCAGGGACAACTGTAAATATTCAGGTATACACGCAAATGGTAAACGATGTGTGATGTGAATATGTAGAAAAGCTCTGCATTTTAATAAGACCGCAGTCTTCACTGATAAGAGTGGAAGGGATCAGATTCTGTAAAAACACATAATTCTTTTCGATTTATGTCCAGAACATTTTTCTGCTGAGTTGGAATGTTTGAGCTTGTCACACACCATACATTTAAATGCGGCTTATCAATATAGATTTATCTCACAGGAACAGCAAATTTATTAAAAAGGTGGTTTGTTGTTAATACCTGTGACATTTCCAGAAACAAACCTTTCAAAGCTAGCACTGTTCCCAAAATTCACAACCAGTTGGCAGTTAGATGAGCTCCAACACTTCAAGGTGCAAAGTTAAAGGGTTAGTTCACCTTTACAGAAAAAATGTAAAGGTGAACTAACACCATACATCCTCCCTCTCCCTCTCTCCAGAGCACTTACCTCTGGCAAGCGGTCAATTTCCCATTTCCAGCACACTGGGGATTTGAAATCCCTGCTCTTCTCCCTCTTCTCTGTGCAGCAAATCCAGGACAGGCCAAAGCGATTCTGATTGGTCACAGGAACAGTGATTCGGGTTGGTTTGTCCTGGAAGTGCTGCACAGAGAAAAGGGAAAAGAACAGGGAATCCTCAAGGGTAAGTATAGCAGGGACTGGGTTGTACAATGTTAGTTTACTCTTCATTTTTCCGGTAAAGGTGAACTTACAATCCCTCTTCCTTCTCATTAGTCCCTCATTTTGATCTGAGGTATATACAGTACTTGTGTCACAAATGCACTACGTATCTATCAAAGAGTATTTTACAGTGCACTGATGTACTGCTACAGGGAGGCTTCACTGCGCAAAGTCATGTAAATACTGTATATGTAATTTTGCATTTCTGGGTAGGGGGCGCGTGTGCACTTCACCCTATTCTTGCTGCTATTGGCTGCTGAGGATGTCAATCACTGGGCCCCAGTCGGCGATTACCGGCCGGGACTCAGCGATCAACAGCGAAACTGAGAGGGGACACTCTCAGCAACACAGATCACTTTCCTGTCAGCATGGACGTGCTGCTTTCTATCTCTGCACAGCAAAGAGATAGAAAGCAGCAGGTCTGCTTAGTAAAACAGCACATAGTACACAATAAAAACACTCCCTAACACACAGTTAACCCTTTGTTCGCCCCAGATGTTAACCCCTTCCTGCCCGGTGTCATTGGTACTGTGTCAGTGCTTTTTATTAGTACTGATCACTGTATTAGTGTCACTGGGGATGTCAGTAGCAGTTAGTTAGTTCCCACCCAGTGTCAGTGCAGTCCCGCTATAAGTCACTGATCGCCGCCATTACTAGTATGAAAAAAACCCTAAAAATTCCAGTATTCCGCTATTTGTAGATGCTATGACCAATTAATATACCAAAACCAATTAATATACACTTATTGGGATTTGTGTTAGCAAAGACATGTAGCAGAATACATGTTGGCCTAAATTTATGAAGACATTTTATTTTGTTTGTCTTTTTTTGGATATTGTAGCAAAAATTTTTATTTCTAGCAAAAAGTCAAAAATAGTTTTTTTTTTAAATTGTCAGTTTTTTTTGTTTATAGCACATAAAAATGAGAAAGGCAGAGATGATCAAATACCACCAAAATAAAGCTCTATTTGTGGGGAAAAAAACACATAAATGTAATTTATGTACAGCGGTGTATGACCACTCAATTGCTAGTTAAAACAACACAGTGTTCTTTGCCACATAATTCTTGCTAATAGGTATGCTATTGCAGCGAATCAGAATTAAGTATACCGAAGTCATACTAGAATGGATGCTGATTGTTACTATTGGTACTATACTTCCAGTGTATCTAAACCCAAAACCAAAAAAAATGTAATATATTGCAATTTACTAGTCCTTGGTGTGGTGGCTGAATTCATTTTCTTTTTTAAAGCTTCCTCTGCTTTATTATCACCCAGTAATCTCAGAAATAATTCCTGTCCTTGGGTGGCTAAATCATACCTCCACTGTATCTATGGAGGGAGCCATCATTGTCACCCTAGGCTGTTCTTTGTTATAGATGACTAACATGTCCTTATCATCTCAATCTCTATTACATGGGGCAGATCAATTGGTAATTTGCAAAAGAGAGCTAGGAAGGAAGATATTCTTTGATGAAGCTCACAAAAAGTTACACACTGCTTACTGCCAAGATCAACAGGTATTTTCTGTAGGATGCAATATATTAAATATGTATTCTTGGGTTTAGTTATACTTTACTAAAACTTTCCTAAGCTTTTCCTCCTGGAGTAAACTCTATTGCACTCAGAGACCACGGATAGCCTACCGCTGTTCCTCCTGCTGACGCATTTCACACACAAAGACCTTTGTGAGCTATGTGTGAGTGAAACACATCAGATGGAAGAGCTCTAGCAGACTGTCCTTGGTCTCCTAAATCAATAACGTTTATTGGAAGAAAAAGTTCTGGAGTGTGGCCCCTATCTCTCTCTCATATTCTGTGAAAGAGGTGATCCTAGCAGAGAGATATTGGAATTGATTTACTAAAGTCAAATAGGCAGTTCACTTTGCAAGGAAATTTGCATTTTGCACAGGAATTTGCCCCACTAAATGTGGCGAAGTTTCACTTTGCAAAGAATAACTATTTACATGAAAGGACAATTTAAATAAAACAGCATTTTGCTTCCACATGATTGGATGATGGATGGAAGTAAGCAGAGCTTCACCCATTCACTATCTCTGGGTCAAACAGCCTATTTACCTTTAGCACATCAAACGTATTGTGTATGGCACCAGACAGTTATGGAAATGCGGCTATACCTGCTGTATCTATGCATAAAATAGTGTTTTTAACTTATAGGAAAATATGCTCAGAATTCCAAATTTAGCATACTCTTTGCCCAGCTCCAGTCTTCCCTGTTGTTTTCCGTGTTACACTAGCTGACAGCTAGAATCTGAATCTGCTTGTAGTACCCAGCGCCCCTTGCTGTCAATCACTGTGGCTCATGCAGTCAAATTTCTAGTTTCAAACCAACGCTGTCACCTTGCTTCATATCTACACATCAGTCCTTCCTAACAAGTTCTGGCTCTCCTATGTTCAGCTGATGCACGCTCTCCATTAACATTCAGCCACCGTATACATATTCTATTTCAGATTAACACCTTTTGATAAAGTGGACCTGTTACCACCAAGAAATGAACATTTTTTTTCTGAGCAGTATCCTGAAAATCCTACACCATTTGTCTGAAAACAATCAGTGTACATTTTGGTATGTGCCTACAATCTCAAAGCTATATATCTACCATGTGAGATCTCACTGCTGTCATTGCTGCCTCTGACTGTTAGTCTTATGAGATTTGGAGTGAGATTTGGTGATGTCTTTACTGTGCTGCTCACTGTTCTGCTTGTTGGAGATTATGACACAAGGAAGCAAAACCCTGCCGCAACCAAAATATCCGATGTGTGTGTGTGACGGCACTGGACTGGTGGATGGTTTGACATTGTTGGAAGCTCTGTGGAGTAGCAACTCCGTAGGGTTTGTTAAGGCCATGGGCTGCTGCATGTCTAAAAGCGATGGAGGAGATGCTCCATGGGATACATTTGAATGTGTAAAGAGGCGTACTCTGAATAAAAAGTCATCACACTTGAAGGTATATGTGTGTGTGACGGCACTGGACTGGTGGATGGTTTGACATTGTTGGAAGCTCTGTGGAGTAGCAACTCCGTAGGGCTTGTTAAGGCCGTGGGCTGATGCATGTCTAAAAGCGATGGAGGAGATTCTCCATGGGATACTTTTGAATGCGTAAAGAGGCGTACTCTGAATAAAAGGTCATCACACTTGAAGGTATACTTAAGAAGTTTATTGAAGTTTACAGTTCATAGGTAACAGGTAAAACCAGTGCTTTTTCAGGAACATGCCACATACCTGGAACAATGGTGTGGCTAAGGTCCATAAAAGCTGTCTGATTCAGAGTGGCAATTTTTTATACAGAGCATACCTCTATATTCATTCCTAAAATCTATGAATATGGCCACCTCCATGCATATATATTGCAGAACAAGCCATGGAAAGCCAGTGATTAGAAAAAGATCAGATGGAGGGGGACAACAGGTAAAAGTGGTGACGAGTCCTTTGCCCTCTGCTTGCCTGATTTTGGGCACAGCTTTCAGAACTTCTCTTCAAAGCCAAAACCAGACAGTGGCAAGAAGGATGGCTTCTTTCTAAGTGTTGTGGCTTTATTATGAATTTTTTGTACCCCAGAGAATGCTTCTATGTAACAGTCATACTGTCACGTCATACTAGAATATCCATTTAGTGGAGGCTCAGACTGGAATGATTTCAGAGTGGTGGCCTCTGGGAAAATGCCACATTTCACCAAACAATGAGATTTTGGACTCACGTAGAGGTTGCATAAAATGGACTTGGGAGAAGATAGTGGAGGATGTTGTGTAGAAACAAAAGTAATTTTGTGCTTCAGAGATGTAATTGGATCCTCATAAATCAAATTACTGAATAATGTATGAGCTGCAATATGGCTGACAACACAAATATGCATGACAGGTGATCTTTAAAATAGCTGACCTCTCTTCAGATATCTTATAACAGATCTAATGAGCAAGCTCTTGGTTCCCCCCATTCAGACTGTCTTGTCTGTTTTATTTTAAATAACCTTATCTAATACGGCATAGCAAAACCAATTTAACACAAATGCACATTTGAGTGGAAAAGGTGAAATCTGCAGTCATTTATAACTCATGGAAATATCGAATTATAGATTAATTGTACGAAGCTTCAGCTATTTTAGAAGCAATATTCCCATTTTATTTTACTGAGTGTCTTTTTGGCCAGAGAAAATGTGTACTGTAGAAATGAATTACAGAAAAATTGAACATTACTTAAGTTTAAACAGGCAGAAAGTTGCAGCTTACCGTCTGA